AGCACTCAGCTTTAACGGATGAAAAAAAAAGAGATAAATATGATGAATTCGGAACGCATTTGGCCTGTGGACTCTCTGCTTAGAGGAGCAGACCTGGCTTCACATGTGGTCACGTGCACACGGCGGGACAGACATTAAGCCAGTGGTTGGGCGCTCTCACTCACATGATGAATGTTTGTTTTGAAGCCCTGTAGAGTCAGGTACCACCTGGTCAGAATTAAATGAACCGTATCTAGGTTGAATTCCCACCGTACAATAATCCAGGAGGCTGTTTACAATCTAGTTGACATTTATGCACTTATTCACAGTGTGCATGAATCTGAACATTTGGCATTTTAGCGATCCTGGAAAAAGACGCTGAATTTTAATATTGCGGAGAAGACTCCACATAGGCTATATTTTTAGGATTTCACTCAGCAGTCTAGGCAGGGAAACAAACACTTGTGGGGCTTACGTGACAGGCGGGGTCTTAAAGCAAAACCGACTGTTGTACTGCTGGCAGAAGTATTATCATAACGACCCCTCCTGTCACATTAGATGTTCAAGAGCGGAAGATTGGCTGCCGTAAACCGTGTGACTTTCCGGGATTCATATTTGCAGCCATTAGTTCCCCTTTTAGAGTGAAAAACCAAGCAAATATAAATGTGCAAAGATGAGACGAGGGAATTCAGGGTACATTGAACACTGATGCATTTTAAATACTGAGTCACATTCCTTATACTGTAACCTTATTAATTCACCACCTCATTATGAGCTTTGATATTATTTTCGAGCTCATTCATGACTAATGCCCCAGGGCGGTGGTTAGCTGATGGGGGGGGGGTGTTGTGCTTCTTGTATCAGTGGAGCTTTATCGAGCACAGAGGACATCTTCCATAGGGCCCCTTGAATACGGACTTATTACTCATCTCCCAAACCCAAAGTGACAGATGCTCCAATGTCCCATTTATTATTGAAGGCACCCAATAAATATTTGCCTGACCTGACACAGTGAGTAATGACAGAGCACACAGCCTGACAAATTATGCAGCTCAGGAATTTCAAATTATGCATTTTCGATGCCGATTCTGGTGCAGACGTAGGCTGAGCGAGCAAGACCCCCCTCCCATGAACCATGTCATTAGCTTGCGAAACCGTGGCCACTTCGATTATGCAATGTGAAGGATCAGGGAAGCCAAGGAAGGTTCCTTCACTCTGAGATGAAACAGACTCACAGCTAACAAAACCAGCACATATTGCTGATGCATCTAATCATGCTTTTCTGGATAACACATAGTTATGGGGACAGCATGCAGCTGGTAGGTCGTTCAAAACTCCCTATGTGCTGAGGCACAGACTTAATGTTTTCCATTGCAGAACAAATGCAAATTCATGTGAACACAGATATAAGTACTTCCCCTTGCCAAATGCTCAGACAGAAGGTTTATAACTTGAAACACCAAGCATTTAAAATTGAGTTGGAGGTGCAAATAAATTATGTCACTGAAATCTTGTCAGCCCTGATAAATGTAAAATATTCATCCTTTAAAGGCCGAGAGAGGAAAGCATTTTTCTTTAAAGCCCAGGTGGTGGTTTATATTAGACAGAAGCTATGGGACGTTCTGGCAGGCTTGCTATCTACTCTTCCTTCATGGTGATTGGCTGGGAAAAAAAAAAAAAAAATCCAAAGCTACTTAAACCATGTTGAATTTCCCTCTCGCCTGAGTTCTTAACTGATGCTGCTTCCGCCACTGGTGCAACAGTTCACATTGTTCTTTAATATTCCAGGCTGCTCAGCTGGACCCCCTGCTGAATATGCAATGTGACTAATCACTCTGGATGAAAATGACATATGACAAGGCTGATGATGGCACCAGAAGAACGCACACTTCATAAGCAACCTGAGCTATGATGTGAAAAGCAGCAGACAGGGAAATATAAGTCAATTTCACACTTTAAAGAGTCCACCAAATATAATCTGTCACTGGTAAAAGACATACTGTATAATGAAATACTTGTGAATGCTACAGTATATTGCTTGCAAAATGTTTTATTTAACCAGAATACATTACTTCTGAATGGATATCGATAGCGAATGAGACTTTTTTTTTGCCAGAAGAAAGGTGTAGTTATGGGGCCTGATTTTCTTAATCTATGCCAAGGATTCATTGTGTGAACAATGTCATTTTAGAGTTATTAAATTGACTTAATTTAAAATCCCATTACTATGTAAACTGAACATATGGCGCTTTACATAAGTGCTGATTCTACATCTCAATTGCATAACTGCACACATCTAATAATGTTGTACATGTTTTTGACATATGTAGAAATGCTGTTGACTTACAAGTTTGGTCTCTGTCATGCCCAGATCCAATTTACCCCATCTGCTAAATAAAGGAAATAACAAAAATGGTACCCACTATAAATATAAAAATATAATATAGGCTAATAAAAAATAGTACAATGTATTCCTCACTCTTAAGTACTGACACGGATCAGTGTTGTTTCAGTATTATTTATATACTATTACAGTATTTATAAATATTTTGATTTAAGTTTTAATGTATTAGCTTTTCATTTCTAAAAAAAAATCTTAATTTCTTTAAATTTCTATTTCAGTTTTAGTCCTTCAACTTCAATTTATTTTACTTAGTTGTCAGGAAAAATTTCAAAGCAAAATGTTTTTCGTATATGTATATATTATATTTTTTAGCTTTATTTCCAATTACCAAAAAAAACGATTGCTGTTCAGCACTGAGCTCCAACCAGGGGTCACGTGAGATTCCCTGTGCCAAATAAGAGAGCTGACGCGCAATAAACAATGAATCAAAGAAGCGCCCAGGCAAAAGAAGAGGCCACGATCATTTAATTATGCCAAGATATCCATCCTTGACTCAAATCTCATTGCGGTGACAGAGAGTGTTCCCTCGCCTTCATTATGACTGACACAGAGTATCAGTTTTAAAGTTCTAAATTCGGTTTTGATGTAGAGGCACGTCTCTACTCTCACGCCGCACCCTCTGCTAGCCAGCAAAGAGGCAGTGGATACAATTACCCATTCTGATCGGGTTTCACTGCACTAGAATAATCCTCCCCATTATTGCCATAAATATTTTATGAATCATTTTGACAGAATAAAGGAGTCACTGAGGCCTCATATTAATCCGATGATGGTTTTTTTTTGGTTCTCTGTCACCATAACGACCCCCCATTCTTATCAGCCCCTGCCGCTGTCTAACATTGTTTACGTCTTCATCAACAAAATGTTACTGGTTGCTAAGTGGCACATGGCCTCTGGCCTCGTCTGGCCGCAGCGTCACCCATGCCCCGAACGGTCACTGCGCTGGCACATTTCCGCCGTCTCCTAGAAGCAAATGAAATTTGTCATGGTTTGACCTCTTGCCACAACGATCGACATAAAGTGTGTTGAAGGAGCACTGTGGTATTGACACAAACCCATGCAGCTATTTCTACAAATATGTCTGAGTGCAGCAGGGTCAAAGTGATTTAGTCCTAGTGATACTAAACTAGCTCGTGTGACATTTAGCTGAGGGGAATCACTGGGTCGGCAGGATTTGTTGCTTTGCCCTGGCCTGTGCCATGGATCTACCAGCCTGGATGTGCTGTACACCTTTCACGTGATGCCGTGCGACATGAGAGCTTACTGAAAGCACGTCGAGCAGCACATCCTTCTGGGCAAGTTGATCGGTGTGAAAAGCCGTCATGTGTTGGTGCGAATGGCTTGCCCTTGGACAGGCATGCTACTCAGGTCAGACACATAACGCAGCTGCAGTCTGGATTCTGGCAGGGCCTGGATTTACCGCTGAAAGGTTCACACCAGTTAATTGGCCCTTGCTCAAGCCTGCGAATCATATGTCAGACTAATATTATCAGCTGCAACTATACAAAGCCACCCTGAAAAAGAGACGGAGGGTGAGATGGGAGTGGAATGAAAATATTGGAGTTTTCTGGGCAAAAGTAATGATGCAATTACAATAACATGATTTTTAGAATCACATTCCAGAACTGATATTACATTAAATTATTTCAGTGTATGTTTAATTTGAACAAAAAGTACTAAAAGCATTGAACACCAGTCTGTCTGCCTGATGTCCTCATTGCAAAATCAATAAATGTTGTACTTCATTCAGAATAGAATTCAGAATAGGGCTGTAATAATATCACATAATACCAACAAGTAGTCTATATTTTAAAACAACCTAAATGAAGCATTTATATTTGCATGAATTATTCAAAGCATTCATTAGCTCTCTGATTATCAGTCCTTCTCTTAGGTTTTTTTTTTTTTTTTTTTTTTTTTTGTCATGTTAAAAGGAATAAAAGGCATAGATTATCTTGGCTGGTTTCATGAAATTTAGAATGAACACTTTAATTTTGACCCCATTATAATTTTCAACAGTTTCTGTGCCAGTGTCAAAAAACTGCCTGTACATGTGACCTTAACTAAAAGCATTCATGCACTGAGATTTTCATATTCAGCTCTTGTGTGACTAAATTCAAACTTATTAACGTACCTTTTTTTTTTTTTAAAGTACTTTAGTTTTATAAATGCCTACTTTGCAACAGCAGAAGACTGCGGAACAACAAAAAATATGTACCAATACTGCCATCTACTGCTTGAAGACAAATCAATCAGTATTCTTCAAGACGATTACCAACTTCAAAACATGAATTAGCCAAACCACCATGATAAAATTGAACGTGTATTTTTTATTTACAATTTGTCCTTCAAACTGCTGTAAAACTCTGTATATCTCAGAATGACAGTAGCAATAACTGTAAATAAAGTAAACATTGTAGATCGTATTGTGAGAAGTGTATTTTTATATTGTTCATTTATTATTATTATTATTAGGCATTATTTGTATGCTGATAAGAACGTGTTCGACAATTTCCATTAATTTAATTGACAGATCAGTAGGCCCAAACTGTTGGTCTTTTCCCCTTCCGCGTTACAGGAGCAACACAAACAACAAAACAGAACAACAAACGTTTACCTGACGGACGATATCAGTTGCTGTCCTCATCTGTGAGAATATTGTTAAGGTAAACGGTTCTCTGTGATAGATATGGTGGTTTTGATTCATCACAGTGACTCGATATTAAGTAATGACGCTGTCTGCAGGCCACATCACTCCAGTCCAGTCTCGTAGGCGATGCCGTCGATGACAAGTGTTTTTTTTTTGTTGTTGTATTTTTTGCAGATCAGTGAATCATAAAATGTTGAGTCGCCACAAGCATTCAAAAGCGGTCTAATTATCATATATTCATCTAATCTAAGATTTAATTGACCATTTTCGAGTAATGATTCATTGGAATATTTTTTAACACAACAACGTTAGACCTTGAACAGCAGCGCCATCTTTGATTTTTAACGGGAATGAAAGCGAGGCTTTGAGGGATCGAAAAAAAAAAATATGTGGAACACTGCAATCCTTCTAAGAAACTTCAATAGACATAAAATTCCAGACAACAAGAGCTGTGGAAAATGATATCCAGGAGCTTTACAGCGGATGCCATTGAATAACAAAAACAAAAAAACTAAAACAAAACACACACACACACAAAACAGGATGTAATGTTTATCCCTCAGAGCCTCGCTTTCATGGCACAGCTCTTTATGGTCTATTTCACTTGCTAATAGTGAAACACCAGTGACACGTTCTTCAGGTCAAAACCTTACAGTCTATGGTCACAACTCTTGAGAGAAACTTCCCACCCAAGAAAAATGTGACAGATAGAAAACAACTGCATGACCATATTGACTGGAAATTTTCTTACTTGACATATCTACACTAGTGTACTCGTGCTGCGGACAAGTTGGAAGACAGTCACAGTTAATGAATAACTAATGAATACCTATTTAAATGTAATCCAATACCTGACCACAGAGTTCCTCTTGAATGGTATTGGTTGGTGAAACCTGTCACCCAGACAACAGGGCACATAGATAAAATGAGTCACAGCCCACTTGTACCTTGTATCCTACAATTAAACCACAGCTTCCTTGTTCCTCAAATGAGGTCAGCAAACCCAGCAGTTTATTGTTCCTGGAGTATGTATACATACATGTAATATTTAAAAGGAATTTATTTATTCTCTGTCAAGACAAATCTATGATCAAAACAGCAGAATGAGGAGGATGAGTGCATTCCCACAGCATGGCACAGCTCTGGGAACCCTGGGACTTACTGCAAATGAAATCCGACAGGAAGTTGAAAACAGTAAGTCACATTTGACCGAATCTGCTTGATATTTATATCAAAGACAATATAACTATATCTTTAAAATATGCTGCTCTAGAAACATTTCTTATTATTGTTTTATATGTTGAATTTTTTTTTTATATATATACGTTATATTTGAGGACATTTATTTTCAGGATTCTTTGATGAACAGAAACTTCAAAAGAACTGCATTTATTTGAAATATAAATATCTTTACTGTCACATTTGATCAACTAAATGTACTAATTTCTGAATAAATATATTATTTAGGCTACTTTTTATGTACAAAAACATTCTACTGGTGGTAGTGTACAAATAGTGTAGTTACTAGTGCTGAATTACTTCTCACACAGGTCATTTTATTAGATGAATGAAACTTGTGAGGTAATGCAAGACTCCTATTTTATGTGTACAAATGTAACGTAATGACGCAAAGACATGCTCAAATCTCCCGTGGAAATCCACCAGCATTTGGCGGTTTTCTTCCATTCTTCTTCTCAGATCCTCTCTAGCTTTTTCAGGTTAGATGAGGACCATCAGAGGATACATAGCCATTTTCAGATTTCTCCATTTCTCTGATTGAGTTCAAGCCCAGGCTCATGCTGGGCCACTCAATGACATTCACAGTGCTGTCCATAGCCACTTTTGCATTGTCTTAGCTGTGTGCCTAAGGTCATTGTCCTGTTAGAAGGTGAACCTTCTGCCCAATCCGAGGTTCTAGATTAAGACTTCATTACGGCTCACTCTATTTTGTCCCCCAGTCCCTCCCGCTGAAAAAGGCTGGTCACACCACACTTCACTGTTGGGATGGTATTGTGTCCCGGTGGTGAGCAGTGCCTGGTTTCTTCCATACATGATGCTTGGAACTGAGGTACATCAGACCAGAGAATAATGTTTGTCACAGAGTCCATTAGGTGCTTTTTGTTGCAAATTCCAAGTGGGTTTTTATGCATCTTCACTGAAGAGAAGCTTGAGTCTGGACACTCCGCCATAAAGCCCAGATCGGTGAAGTGTTGCAGTGACGCCCTTCTGTAAATTTCTACCATCATCTTATATGATCAACCAGGGTGACCACCATCACCATTCTTGGTCATCATTCTAACCAAGACCCTTCTCCATCCATTGCTCAGTTTGGCTTGAAGGCCAACTCTAGGAAGAGTCCTAATAGACCCTCTTACAGTTGGTAAACATGGTGACGTTTTTTGTGGGCGGAGCTTAGGTGGAGGCAGAAAGATCCATCTGGCCACTTCACTAACGCAAGTTAGCAAGGATTGTTAGCTTGTTTTTTAACAATGACTGGAGAAAATCCGATATTATTTTAATGTGTAAGGTCACTCAGTGTCTAGGACCGCGATTGTTATTTCCAAAAGTTATTTTTAACGGACGGAACCAGATTGGCCGACCTGTAGCCGCCTACACGCTCACTCAATGCATGGATGATCTGACAGGATTAACGTACGTTACCTCGGTTGAGTGGCCTGACTTCTACACCTACCTTATAAACCGATCGTAAAGAGAAACTGAGGCATAAATCTTTAGATGCCTATAACTATATGGTCCTGTACAAGACTTGTGTGTATGATCCGCAGTTCTGCTGAGCAAGCGCCGAGACCACGACAATGTAAAGAGTGACATTACAGTGCGATTTTAATGATGTGAATATTTTTTAGAAATAAAAGTTCCAGATACAGCATATTCATTTTTCATCAATTCTTGCACCAAACAACACAACAAGATGACATTTAATAATAGTAACAATTATTTAAGCTCCTTATTATGTAGCCGAATCTGTGCTGTTTTGCATTGACCGACTCCAGTTTTCACCTTGTTTTGCCTCCAGCTAGCGCTGTGACGTAACTGTGACGTCGGCGCAAAAGGGGTCTATTGTTCCAAACTTCTTCCATTACTGATTATGGAGGCTACATGCTTCTGTCAACCTTCAATGCAGCATATTTTCTTTGTAGTCTTCCCTTGATCTGTGTCTTGATACAATCCTGTCTCTGAGCTCTACATGCAGTTCCTTTGACCTCATGTCTTGCTTTTTGCTCTGATATGCATTTTCAGCTGTTAGACCTTTTATTGAGAAGTGTGTGCCTTACCAAATCATACCTATTTAACTGACTTTTCCACAGGTTAACTCCACTTAAAGCGAAATTAGAATCCTCCTAAGCAAATATGTTACACTGTCTACAAAAAGAAGGGCTGTTTTAGATGTGAACTAACTGAATGTCTGTGATCCCAGAGACATCTGAACTGGTAACAGACCTGGTTAACCGGTCAGCCGGAGGCAGATTTCAAGCAATTCGATCATTACCTATGCCCTTAAATGAGAGGAAAACAATCAGGTTAATGTATTTTATAATAATACATTTTTGCAGTATTTCCCACAATGCTCAATCTCATCTAAACTTGAACTTACACTCCCCTCAACAGGAATAGAGTGAACTCGGTCAAACTTTCAAAAACCATCCTCCCTGCAGACTGTCGTCAACAGGTGTCTCGGGTAAAAAGATAAACACACTTTTTAAAATCTAGATTCGTTATTATTATGGTTCACAATCAAGTGCTCCATAATATTTCAAGACTAATAATCCGCCTCTTCAGTCTTTCCGCAGATTCCGCGCCGACTTGGCATCAGCCAGGCAGAATTTGGTTTTATGGCAGGACACCCTGAAGGAGATCGGGGGCAGATTTGGCACTTCTGTCCTCTCCTACTTTTTGTTCCTTAAATGGCTGTTGAAGTTCAACCTCTTCTCCCTCCTCATCAACTTCTGCTTCATAACAATCCCACAAATTGTGCATGCGCCCAATATCAGCGACATCACAGGGTTCAGAGGACTTGAGCTCCTCACAGGGGTGGTGAGTTTTAAAATTGAGTCCCAACATTATATTTATTAACACTTTCACTAAGGTTCAATTTGTTAACATTAACTTGTGACCGGCCTGCAAATAATTGTTTATAAGTGTCTTGTTATGCTACCGTATCACCAAATATTGCATCCAATTTTTTGTCAGCTTGTTTTCTTTTAATTAGGACAGGTTTTGAATTTATTTTTGGAACTGATAAATCGTAAGCCTCATTGATCTGAGCCTCACAGATTTGAGTCTGTAATACTCAAAATATTTTGTTTGTGCACATAAATGTGTGTGTGCGTATTTATGTGTAAAATTGACAAAATTATCCACAAATCACTCAAAAACGTCAAATGTAAGCTCAGATAAATAAGGCCTCAATTCCAAAAATAAATATAAAACCAAATTGAATTGAATCCAATATTTGGTGATGATGTAACATAATGAAAGATTTATAAGCAATTTGTAAGTAAATTACATACATACTTAAATACTTTAAAGTCCCCATGAACCAGAAGTTGCAAACTAATTTTCTTAAGTGTTGTGACGTATTTCCGAGAGTTCGGAATACTAAATGAGGCAAAATAGTGGGCGTGGATTTTTTTTCCAACTAGCACCTGATTGGATCTAGAAAAGTAGGTGTAACACTAATTGGAATTATAAAACTATTTTTATTTGTTATAACTGCTGCAACCTTAACCTCAACCTTAACTAAAAATCGCCATCTCACCTTTATGTGGATTGACTTGCATGGATGAACTGATCACCACAAAATGATCAATTTAGGCAAAGCATGGTCAATTTTGAATTCATGGGGACTTTAAGTAAATGAATAATAATTTATTAATCATAAACCAATCATGATTTTTTTACAGCTTTAAAAGCTTTTTTTTTTATTCATGATCTTAATAAATTCTTTAAAAATATTGTCCAAAAAAATCATGATAATTAATGCATTAACTAACCTTAATGAACTGAACCTTGTGTTGTTCATCATACAAAACTTTGGCTTTCTAGATCTATAGAATATGGAGTGACAATATCTTTGTCGACAGGGTTATTTCAACCAGACGGTCTTGTTCTATGGTGGTTATAATGGTGAAGTGATTGAATCCACACCAAACTACAACATGCAGTTGGCCTACTTTTTCACCATAGCTGCATATCTGGTGCTGTGTGGGGTGTCTCTTATCTACAGGTAACATATTTAGCGGTACAGTAGATTTCTAAGGCCTTTACAGCATACAAGCAATACAAAGCTTGTTTTGTAGC